GTTGGGCCCTATAGTAGACATTTCTGTTTGGTAAGCATGTTCATACCCATTTTAGAGACGTGCAAGACACATGACCATCTGCCACTCTGATGCCCTTAGGCTATGAGGGACAGGCACTGTGCAGATGCGCCTCAAAGCAAAATGGTTTGGATACTGCCTCTAGTACTTATCATATCTTTGACCTTGAGAAAGTCACTTCACTTGCGGGAGCCTCTGTTTTCCTACCTGTGAAATGGCCAATTAATCTGCTCATCTCACAGTTATGACATAAAATCTAAGTAAGATATGTAAAGTTCTCAACCTAATGCTTACTACACAGTAAATATTCAATAACTGGCTGATATATTTTTCCCTCTTTTAATTTATAAATGTTATTATTTTAAAATCATGTTAATATTATTTTAACACTTGTGTTGCTCAGTAAATTAGAAAGAACAAAGCTCTAGAGAGCCTCACAAATTCTTGGCTGGGCCTGCAGTTGGTTAATCATGAAAATTAATTTTCAACCCAAGTAGTTATCAATGTGTGCTCTGAAAATTGTTTACTATGTTTGCTTTTACACCTATTTGTGATATACAGAAACATTCTTCTCCTTGTTTTATATATTTTTACTTATACAATAAATACACAATAAGTAGGAAGAAGGAACATTGGGGGAGGGATTTTCTTTAATTAAAATATTTTCAATGAAATTTCATTCTTCTTGTTCTTTAACCCAGGAAAATAAATTTAAATATCCTTTTGTTGTTTTTGTGTGTGTTGTGTTTCTGCTCTTTTGTGGCATAAAATACATTTCTTAGTAGGTGTGAAAACAGCTTGAAAGCCACTGAATTGGAGTGCAAGCTTCTTAAGGACAGGGCTGGATCATTTTTACTCTTTGTAAAGCATTAAGTATACCGTCAAGAGTAAGAAAAGTGATAGACATCACCGAAAGGAGGCTTGCCTCAAGTCAGAATTTATGAAAAACTATGTATTTGTGGATAAAGACTTCCCAGGAGATAGGAGGCTCAGTTCCAGCCAGCACTTTTACTTTTTAGCTTTGATAAGCAGCAAAATTTCCAGCAATATTAAAATATAAATATCTCTATGAAGATTACTGCTCTGGAGGTCATTTTCTGATTTCCTTTAAAGTCATCCAGTTCACTCAAATGTATTTTTCTGAGTGCCTTGACGGCCTTCCTATTGTGCTTCAAGGATAACCACAAGGGCTGTGTAGCAAGTGTGGATTTTTTTTTTTTTCCTTTGGAGAAGCTATTTCATGTAATGCAAAAAGGGTTATATCCTCTCAACCTCAGGCTTGAGAGGCAAGCGAGCCTGCCTAGCTACTTCAACGGAAGAAACTTTTAAAATTATTATGGGGCTGGCTGACTTCTTTTTTCTTTCTTTTTTTTTTTTTTCATGACTTGATTTTATGCTTTTCCTGAGATATGGTTTTCCAAATTTTATTTTTATTTTGCACATGTTGTTTCAGACTGGTGAAATGTTCATGAATAATGCTAGTTTATTTTCATAACTTTGTTTTATGAGAAGAAAGTTGCCGAGAGACATTTTCTCAGAATGGAGCAGATATGTTTGGTAGGTGAGGACAGACAGATGGTGTCAGGAGAAATTTTGTGTTATAGAGAAGAATAATCAGTGCTGTGCTTTTCCCAGATATCCACAGCCAGTCAGGCTCCTCTGGGGAAAGGTGCAATTTGCATGTTTCTTTCATCAAATTTTTCTGATGTCATATTAATGACTTAAAGGAAGATAAGCAGCTTTTTTCTTTTGTGTTATTCAAAAACAGAATGGTTCTTTTTTAACAGAATTAGTTTATACGTAAATAAAACACCTGAAAATGGTCATTCCTGGTATATCTCTAAACTTCTGGTCCAATTATGACAAAATCAGATCCATGATAATTTAGCAATTGACATAGCATGCTGGTTAATTTTTACTCATCATATGCTGACAGTGAGCAATATCACTTTATTGGATTGATAACAGAAACTTTACCTTCTTTAGATTTTCAGTAATAAGTTTCATTGTATAATATGTACTGTATACCTTTATCGGGTTGATAATATTATATACTATTGATATATCAGTGGTTTTGAATTTATAGGTACACCTTTTATACCATTTTCAGACAACAAATAATTGCAATAAGGTTTTGATGTGAATTTTTAGCCTTCTCTCATGTTTTCCTGATAGAATCTTATTTGTGAAAACTCAAGTATATGAGACCAATTCCCTTAACTGTACCAAAAGAGAAGATGTACAGTAGAATTTGGCAGCTGTATTTGGAACGATACGTTCTTGGCTTTCTTGTGTTCTTCTCAGGTGCAAGTTTTTCAGCTGATGGAATCATATATGTCCTATCTCTGAGCAAACCTTGTCCAAATACACATAAAATGTGGAATTAGTCTTACTCTGTTCACTAACACAATATATACCCTGCTTATGCTCCCCACTCCCTACAAAGCAAATCTCACATTTTGCAAATGCACTTACACACACACACACACACACACACACACACACACACACCCCTCCAACAACAGCAGGCACTTGCTGCTAAAACTTAACTCTCTTTTTCCCCTTTCACGCAACCAGCACGAACTCCTACCAAACCCATACCTATACTTTCCAACTTTCCTTTCTCACACTCCAGTACCCCCCAGCGCTCAACAGCCCCCAGTTCATTATACTGTAGATTTACAGCTTTCACTCAGTCAGCTTATATTTATTAAGCTCTACTCATTAAGCTCCAGTTAGTGATTCACAGTAGGCAAAGCTCTGGGATATGACAATGAATAGGATGGACATGTCACTGCCCTTAATTTCAGTTCCTGACAAGGAGATAAGCAACTGCAATATATTAGGACACATGCTGGGTTAGCAGCAACAGATCTCATGAGGGCACACCTTACTGGGTCAAGTAATGTAAGAAGACTCGCTGAACTTGAGGTAGACTCTCTCTGTAGCTACTTCTCTGACTGAAGCCCATCATGAAACCGGGTAGCCCTAATGGGGTCCTACTTCTTGGTCCATTCCATGTGCTTAGTAGGAACTACTGTACTCCAAACCAGATGGGACCGCATCTATGACCCTTCTCTGTACACTGCTGCTGTGGCCACATCCAGTCTTTCCCCACATCTCCCTTGGTTGCCCCCCCCTCTGAACGCTGCACTTGGGTCTGCTGGCCATCCTTCTCTCCTTCCCTTCTTCCCTCTAACCTCACTGTTACTTCCTCAAGCCCATCACCATTTGCCTTTGAAACTTAGTACTGTTCCTACTCTATCCCTGGCCTCTGTGGATTTTCATAAAGATAATGTTATAGAGAACATTTACAGACCCCACAATTTGGGAGCAAAATATTACTATAATTTCTTAATGACTGAAGACTATATATGAGGCCTCTATACACATTCAAAACCAGTAGTATATCAAAGGGCTCTTTACTGTCCTATATCAAAACTACTGTTTTGTTATGACTATTTAAGAGACAAGGAAATTACATGGTGATTAAAAGCATAGAAGTCTAAAACCTATCTGTCTGCATTTTTATTCTGACTCCACTGCTGTGTGACATTATTTCTTCACATTTCTGTATCTCAATTTCCTCACCTGAAAAGCAAGGATAAGAGTATCTACATATAAGATTATTTCAGGGGTTTAAAGCTAAATACATGTAGAACACTTAGAAGAGCACCTGGCACAGATAGTGGGCATTCGATTAACATTAGCCATAATTATTAATCTATTATTGTTATTTGTTATTGTTGTTATTGTTAGAGAAGTAAAGGACTCCAGAAGGATAGCAGAGAATCAGGATTTCAACCCTGTTTTGTTCTATTCAGTGAATGAATTAATGACTGAATGATACCACTCTGCCTCCCTCAAAGGGGAACAAGATTTTCCCTCCACTTTGGTCTTCAGTTGCACACTGGATTAATTATACTGCTTAGGTCACCATTTTATCATAAGTCTATGCATAACCTTATTTTCCTTAATTAATTTTTTCCCATAATGCAATAATTACCTGTGGACTACCCCCTTCAAAAAATCCAGGGCCTTAGCAATACATTGTAGCAGACTGTGTTTTCCAAAAGTGACCACAATAACATTTCCAGTTCCACTACTCTTTGAAAACCTTGTCTTCTCCCCCTCCTCATCAAGTGGTACATCTTTTTCCTTTTCCCTTCAACTCAGGAAGGGCTTTGTGACCACCTTGATGAATAGAGAATAAGGTGTAAGTGGTACTGCTTAGCTTCTGGAACTGGATCATGGGAGATAATATGGCTTCTGCCTGTTTCTCAATCTGTCTCTCTTTCTGTTTCATGATGCTCATCCTCAGAGGATAGCTCTAGGATATGAGAAAGCCCAAAGTAGCCCACTCAGAGGGAATACATAAAAAGGCCCACTTGGAGAGTGTCTGAGGTCTGCAGCAGACAGCACCAATTTTCAGACATATCAGTGAATAACACTATATGATTATATTCCTCTAGTCTTTGACTATTATAGCTCAGGCATCAGACCTGATGAGGGAGAGACAATTGTCATTATTCTGCCTGGTCATAAATTCTTATGACCATCATAAATGACTATTTTTTACCACTAAGTTTTGGGGAAACTTTTCATGTAGTTATATTAAGGAACAGAAATCAGTACCTGAAAGTGGGTTGCTACCATAACAAAAATCTACAAAAGTGGCAGGGGAAATTGGAAGAGTGTTGAAGAGATTGATAGTATCCCAATACAGAGTCATTTGGAAGCTGGAGAAGTTTCATTACTCTCACTGCTGCCACATTGTAGTCATCCAGGCAGTCAAAAAGTCTCAACCAGATTCAAGAGGAAGAAAATAGTCCCCATATCTTTATGTTAAAATGATAAACTTTTGAAGAGCCTATGGGACAAGAAACATTGCTTTGACCATTTTTGGAAAATAAAATCTGCCACAGTCCACTCTTTGATGACCACATTTACATCCCTCCTGCATTAAAAATATATATACTCACCACCTTCCTAAGAGCCTTCATGTTGTCTTTCAACTTCAAATGGAAAATGTCAAGGGTATGGAATCATCTGAAGGCTCATTCACTCACAGAGTTGGTGGTTAATTCTGGTTATCAACTGGGGTAGACATCATGGAAAAGAGGCCAGCCATCATGCCACACCATGTCCGACTTTCTGACCTACAGAAACCATGAGCATAATAAATGGCTGTTTTATTATACAAAGTTTGGGAGTAATGTTTCTGCAAAGGCTTAGTAACTGAAACATACATCGAATTATGTGGTTTCCCTACCCAAGGTAATCATTATCCTGAGTCTCCAATTTGTCATACCCCAACTTTTCATGTTGTATCATTTTTATTGCAACTTTATTAGTATAATAAAAGTGTATATTTTTTACTTTAGTTTTTTTTAAAAGTAGTCTGCCACTTTTGAACATCTTTTTTTTTTTTAACTCAAGCCATTATTCCTAGAAAACTAACTCAGGAACAGAAAACCGAATATCACATGTTCTCACTTTTAAGTGGGAGCTGCCTGATGAGAACACACGGACACATAGAGGGGAACAACACACACTGGGGCCTTTCAGAGGGTAGAGGGTGGGAGGAGGGAGACGATCAGGAAAATAACTAATGGGTACTAATTAAATAATCTATACAACAAATCACCATGACACAAGTTTTTCTACATAACAAATCAGCACTTACACCCCTGAACTTAAAACAAAAGTTAAAATAAAATAATATATTGCCAAGATTCACCCATATTGATGCTTCTCACTCCAGTTGGTTTGTTGTGACTATGGGCTTATATTTTATTGTGCAAATAGTCTACAACTTATTTATTGTCTTAGCAGATGAAGGGCATGTCACCTGGTGTTTGCTATCGTGAATAGAACTGCTATGAAGAGTCGGGAATATGTCTAGGAATGGAATTGCTAGGTAATACGAATATTCAACATTAAAACATAAATATTCAAATTGGTTGCACCTATTTATTCTACCTCAAGCAGTGGATAAGAGATTTTGTGGATCCCATGAAGGATTTGGGTGAAAAGAATAGGTATACATTCAAATTCTCTTGACCCTGATTAAAATGTTGCTGCTATCACATGAAGTGGACAATACTAGAGATCCCTTGCCTCACTGTGTTGATGTTTCCACATCAGCCATTGTTATAGTCAGACAATGATTTAGGTATTTTAACACACACACACACAGGCACATAGATAGAGAAGAGCATCCTGCCTTGCAGTGTGTGCTCATATTCCTCCTTCCCACCATCCTTGCTGATAATCCAGGTACTTTCCAAATTCTCCTAGCCCCTGAAAGAGGAGGAAGACATGGGAAGGATAAGGATAACAAGTACAGATCTCCAGAGAAAATGTTCAGGCCTGACGAAGGAGTGACTGGCTGGATATTAAAGATTTATAATTCAACTGACTCATGTTGATCGATTTACTTTTGTTGTTTCAGAATTTACACTAAACGTTTTCATTTACTTGTAAGGCAGTCTTGCAACTAGCACTATATAATGTGCTAAGTAGGACGAATGCTTAAGAGGCAAGCAGCTGCCGATGCAAAACAGGCATGAAGCCATACACGCACAGCATGCTTGTAAGGGAGCTCTGTTACAGCAAATCAGGGGAAAGGACAGTCAAGCCATCAATGGAGAATAGAAAATACTAAGGTATCTATATATTATTTTGAATGACCTCAATAATGTAGCATAATTGCAGATATAACCTTGAAGATTGAAAGGGGAGAATTAGGAAAGTATTGAAGATTTTTTTTAAAGAAGAAATTGACCAATTAAAAGTCCTGTGTAACATCCTTCTATTTCTTTAGTAACCTATTGATCAGATGAAGGGAATTACAGAAAAGGACACCTAATAGAATTAGAGAAAAGGACACCAAATAGAAAGAACAGTATATCTATGTGTCTACTCATTTATCTATCTATGATAAAAGAAACCATACTTTACCATGCATTATTTCACATCCTTTTAAAAATACTTTCCTCAAGTGTGAATTTTAACAAAAATTTACAAAACATTAACAATCAATGAACTCCCAACATTTGTAAAGAAAGGACATTTATAAAGAAGTGAGATTCCCACAGGAATTCCTTGAGGAAAGCAATTCACTGTACCTCACAGGCAGCAACACTGAGAAAAAATATACTTATTAGTCTATGTATTCAAACAGCCAAATATAGCATTTAATTCAATTATAAGAGACAGTTGACCATTGTCTTTTTAAAAAAATGACAAAATTTGACATTTCAGATGTGCATTTGTTGTATCACTTTTTTTGGGTCACTGTCAGTGCATCTTTATGCAATGTGGCTCATATTAGCATCCTGGAAATACTCTACACATTTTCGTCTATACAATGTAACTGTAAACTAAAATGATGGAGCATCGCATCCATCATTTTGTGGGAAACAAAATGATGGGTCCCACTCAATTCTATACCGTGAGAGAGTCAGAGTTCTGATGAATATGCAGATAAAGCTGAGACCTCCTTTAAGATATCCAGGAGAGCTTTGCCTGACCTTCTGAACAGAGGGCCTCTGAACGATGTAACTATTAAATATACAATGCAGAAATAATTGCCCTTAACTGGGCAGTGCACACACTGTGGGGAATTTTTTAAGGAGTGTTTTAAAATAGAAAATGGCCCTGTTTGAAAGGAAATGGATTATAACAGTTGTGTCCTTCTGGGATCCCCAGGCATTTCTGCTATGGCTGCCTCCCCAGTGTAGCAGTGAGTCCGTCAGCACTTATCAACATTTCCCAAGCGTTAACAGGGTCATTTGTGTTCTTGCATTTAGATTGCACAAGCTCAGACTTCCAAGTTTTTTTACTTTCAGCTATAATTATTTCTTGTTAGTATATTAATGACAAGTAATATATGCTAGTAGAATCCACTGACAGCAACGAAGCTGGCAAAAAGGATGTAGTCCTATTTCTCAATTTTGTACAGATATACAGGTGTACGAACTTACTCTCCTACTCAAAGTATTTGATTACAGCTTTCCCCTAAAAATATGACTGTTGAGAAATTCCACTAACCCCTTTATTAGTTACTGCTATAGATTTTACTTTCAGCATAAATAGTCATGTTTTATGAGGTACTAGTTTGGAGGTTACATACAGTGATTCAGAGTTCAGACTCTAGCAACAGACAGCAGAGTGATAGAATTCTGGGTCTTTTACTTTTTAGTTTTGTAACCTTGGGCCAGTTATCTCATTTTCCCCCATAAGATGACTACAGTACTAGTATTACATAATCATGACGTTTAAATTAGATAATGCATGTAGAACATTTAGCATAGTGCCCATCACTAGCTGTTACTTTTTAAGCACCAGCTTAAAAAGTTGGGAATTAATACAATTACTTTAATTGTCAGGGCCATAGATCAAATTGATGCAATAAATTGTAATACTAAAAATCACTGAGGATGAGTTTTAAATAATGAAACAAGAAAACCTCCAGCTGATTAGACTCTGCTTGACTCTGGGGGCAGACACTTTTGCATGGAAGGCATTAGTGGGAATATGCCTTTGAGTGACTGCAGAAACTCTTCAAGGTACCACTTAATCTGGAACACATTCTGGTTTCTGACCAAAGCCACAAAGAGGTGTAGTTGAGCACCTATACACTGAAGTAAGCTTCTTGGGAGAGTAGCATCGCCAACAGAATCTACAGTTGTGTAGTAATAAACTTCAGTAGCAATATAAAGAATTAAACCAGACCATTAAATTGCTGTGTCTAAAATCTGTGTGGTTGAGATATGAGGGACTTTTAAACTATTATTGAAGTAGCTTAGAGAAGTAGAGGCAGGAAGACTGAAAAGCCTCTGCAATACTTGTGATTAAGAGCCAAGACTTCAGAGCTGAGCCAATACGGATTTTCTTTTTTACTCTACCACTTACTGGCTATATGACTTTGAAGAAATGACTTGACCTTTCTGAATCTTAGTATCTCACCTATAAAATAAGTACAATAATGTCTATTGTAGAGTTGCCTTCAGGATTAAATGGAACAAGGAATAGAAATTGTCTTGTAGGGTTTCAGCTTATTATGAATTTTCTAACTAACAGCATTATTACATTGCATTTATTAAATCAGCATTGTTAGGAGAAAACAAACATCTATCAATCAGTGGATACTGATTGAGGACCTACTGTACAACAGGTGCCATGGTGATATCATAAAAATATATATATATATATATGCAGGGACAGAGAGAGAGAGAGAGAGAGAGAGAGAGAGAGAGATGCTCTTTTGTCCCTAAGGATCCAGAGAGTGCTACAGCATAGGAGCTATAGAAACAAAGAGAAAGGAATATCTAAGTGAACTTGAGGCCCAGAGTATTAAAGAGTCAAGCTTAAATTGAGAGTTGACAGATAAATAGCAGGGGCCAGGGAAATTTGTTCCAGAGAGCATTTCTGGGAATACGGACACCACATTCTCAAATGAAGCATCAGCATGTGGCATGTTCAGAGACTAGATGCTGAGCCAGATCAACATGGGTTGGAACACAAGGAAAATATTTAAAATAAGATTTTTAAGGCAAAAGGTGTCTAACCCTACAACACAAATTCTGGTTGCATTGATCTAAATACTTCATTAATTGGGAGGAATAACAAATGTACATGCTAATCCACAGGCTGACCTTTTGGTCCTCTGATCAAAAAATAAGTGACAAGTACTGAACAACAGTAGTCTTTCCCTTTTCTTGTCTTTCATGTTGTACTAATCTGATGTTTATCATGTCTTCAAGGTTATTCTCATATTGCAAAACTCATAAGAGAAAAAGAGTGGAACTGAAGGAGGAGAGAAGCAAACGCTTTACAATTTAGCAAGATATATGTGAAGACATCTCATTAAAACATTGACTGTATGGTTACTCTGTATATAATTATATTGGTAATGTGTACATGGCTCATTTAGTATGTGTTTGTCCAGAAATGATCTTGTTTCTGGCTTCTTTAAATATAATAGCTGGTTAAATTAAATCAGGTACCTGATCCCATGCTAAGCTGTATACATTTGATACCACATGAGATCTCACAGAACAATGATAAAGTAGGTACACTTTGCATTTGACATATGTAGAAAGTGAAGCTTAGAGAAATAATGTGACTTGTTCAGTTTCAAGGAATGAAG